TCTCTCTCTCTCTCTCTCTCTCTCTCTCTCTCTCTCTCTCTCTCTCTAATACACACTGCAACTCAATTCTGGGTTGATTCTACAGAAAATCAGTTAGAAGTTCAAGAATAATTTTAAGTGTTGCATTCCAAACTAAGAAAGCAAAAGATGCAGAGGAGGCTGCTGGCCAATCATTCCAGATCTCCAGTCATACCAGAGAGAAGGAAAAGTTGTGAAATGGACCAAAATCCCTCACCACACCTTGTGTCAAACCCTTATGACCTTGTCTGCCACAATCCAGATCACGACTTAAAAGAATCTGAAGCCATGCAGACCAAGCTGGTCAACATTATGTACCTTCGAGAGCAAGCTGGCCTGCTGCTACTAGAGGTCCTTTACATAAAAGTTAGGTCAAAGATCAAGTGATCGCAAAATGAAACAAACATCTGTAACCAATTAATACTAGCTGAATTACCACAGCCAACTGGGGACCATCAGGACCCTGTATGAGTAGCCCACCTGCAGTATTGTTTTCAAAAGAAACAGTGGACTCAGTACTCTTGGCCTAAGCTGACTAACAGCAGTAATTCTTACAGAAAGTAAGGGATCAAAAAGCAAGTCATGTCGCAGTCTTTACTAAAAATATGCATTTTCCAATTTAAAATAAAGTAACTGAAAATGCAAATTTATAAGTGAATTTATTCCTTCAGTCCCTACACAGGAAAAAAAAAAAAAGCTAAATAAAACTAGGGTCTATTTTAATGAAAGTTTCACTTGCACAAGAACAGAAAGGATCCAAGCTGTTTATGTGGACTGGGGAGAAACAGGAGCAAAACACAAGCTAACATCTGCACTACAAAAAAAGGCATTGCTCAACACTTAGAGCAGAAACTTCAAATCCACATTCATTATTATTTGTACGTACAACTTTGTGCGTTTAAATTTTGCATTGCATTAGTGGGAATCCTGACATACTTGAAACAAAACCAGAATTTCACCCAGGATTTTGGAACCAAAATTAACCAGTGAGCTGGAACTCTTCTGTAGTAAGGAAGGAGCAGGGTACACAGGTCTTGTTGCAGAGCACTGCAACTAAATTCCTGTTCTCTGAAAGACAATTTCTCTATTGCAGCAGTAGAGGAAAACCAGCCAGTCCCTGGAAGCTGTGGGTACCCCTTGCAGCCCAGGTTCAGCTTCCCTGCTGGGGTTTGCAGGTCGCAATTTGCTCTGCGCTAAATTTGTTGTGTCAACCACATGGTTGTTTTTATTGAAGAAATCTCCCAAAAGGAAAACTCCTGTAGACAGCCCACATAATTGCCAGCCATTGTAGAAAGTTAGAAAAGCAATGCTTATTAATCCCACAAAAGTATAAAGTTCTTGAGGTGTTGTCACTGCTCCTGTTAAGAGAGGATGTGTTACCAGCAACAGAGAGTAAAATCACCCTATATACTCAATCCTGAAAGGCTGGAAAAATTGCCAAGTCAATACTTTAGACTTTAAAATAATACATTCCTCTTACTCCTCTTCAGTTCTTCCTTAAAAACAAACAAACAAACACTCAGAGGTTAATATTAAAAATCTGGTTACTTAGACCACCAAATGAGGCTTGTTGCTACTGTGATTAAATAAACTCAGCATTTTGCAATATCTTAAGATAATTCCAGATAGTTATTATAGAATCTAGACTGAATTTCATAACATTTCTCTTTTACAAATGTTACACATAGGGGAGAGGAAGACTGGCTTCAAGTGGATAGCTGAGGTATCCTTGTGTGAGGTGAGTGTGTTTATGTGGTTGCACACATTGGCTAAGAACAGCATGATCCACACCTACGGACTGCATGGAGCAGAAACACTGAACCTTGCTTCCTTTTATCAAACTTACCAGTCACTGCAAATTGTGAACAAGACATTTCAGCCAAATCAAAACAGCAAACAAAATCCTTCAGTTCACTGCCTACTTGGCTTGCTAAAGAAGTTGAATAAAAATATTCTATGGAGAATGCACTACATGGGATCATGGTATTAACCTAGACACCTGAGAACCCTCTTGCACACTGGCATTGAACAGACAAAACGACCTCTCACCACCCTGCAGGATCATTCCTGCATTAAAAAAAAAAAACAAAAACAACAACTTATATCAGAATATTCCATGAATTAGTTATTGAGCTCATTAGTGAGTTTGAGCTCCCTTTTATTCTCTTGTTTCTTCTGGAAGATTCAATTTCTCTCTCATTTTTAACATTCATACAAAAATTGTAGGCAAGTATTCCTGGTTTGCAACTAAACCTTTATAAAACATTGAAATAATCATCTTTTTAGCAGAAGTTCTGCTTCTTACTGTCCTACAGAAATCTCTATTTCATTATGGAAAAAAATCTGTTTACAGGAAAGTCCCCACCATTTAACTGGCATTGTCTACATTCGTATCAAAGAGAAAAATAACACATTTCTAGGAGCACTGTGATCAACCACTGTATAAATGTTACTGGGATAAGAAAGACTTACAGCACTTTTGCCAAAAGAGAACTACAGGATCAGGCCCTGTGAAACTGAAGAGAATCAACATTAGGGCATGGCAAAATTATGGCCGATAAAGCAGAGAAATCAGACCAAGTCAAAGCACCACAGACCTCAGCTCACTCTGGTAAATGAGTTTAAGTAAACAGGATGCAACAGCTGAGACTGTTTCTACCTATATACACACATAAGCATGTGTATATATGTATATAAATAACATATATTTCTATTTAGCATACAGTATTTAGGTAAATGTGTATATTCACACATGTACAAAAGGTATATTTATACATATATTAAAAAATTAAAATTCTGTGTTTTGCCAGCAATAATCAATGCCATAATAATTATAAATTCTAACTGGCAGAGCTCTTGCAAGCCTTTTTCAGTTGAAAAATCTCTGAAACATACAGCACTAGACCTTTCCTTCTACACCATGACTGTTTTGTGAGGTATGATAGAAAACTTGATCTCAAGCATGGAGACTTCAAGGCAAGAATACGTTCAGATTTTCCAAGTTACTGCTGGTGGCTATAACTCCCCAGAGGTCTGTGCCTCCTGAATAACTGCACATACTAGCAGTTAAAACCTCCTATTGCTCCTGCCTTTGAACACTGAAATTGTTCAAAACTTACTGATCCTACTCAAATAGATAGGTGCCTACCATCATATGACTTGCCAATGTCATTATACTGTATGACAACTCCTGTTATTTTTAACAGTTTTACTTAGCAATTAGAATTTGCAATTTATAACAAATTTTGTTGATATTAATATTGATTTTCAAGGCTGTCACTCAAATTCAGTGTATCACGTAAAATTGCAGGACAATTTTTTGTGACATGTTCTATCTTTTCAAGTTCTATTTTATTTTACAGGCTTCTGCCTCAATTTCTCTAAAAATGCTTTAAAGTGTTGGAAAAAACAGCACAGGTAACACTGTGAAAAGGAAATAGACATGCAGCATTTTCATCCAGAACATGCCATGTCTCCATTGCACTGCACTCCAAAGAAATGGATACTTGAAAAGCACAAAGCAACAGCTCCTTGAATTACATTGTTTTTCAGCTAAAAATTGCTATACAAGTTGCTGGATGCTTAAGCAAAATGACTATAGCTGTTGTATACAATGGAGAGAAATCTTCCCATTCCTGAAAATTTGTTGCAGATACTCTATGTAGATCCTTCATTCCCCTTCTGCACAAGGGTCACACACATACATTGATGGTTTTATGTCAGTTGCATATGCAAGTGTCGGAGATTACAGAGCTCATGATTAATTGGACCCCCTGGAAATAGTACAGTAACAAATATATAGATGAGGTGATCAAGTGACTGCTATCTAACTACATTAACCAGTTGCTACATTAGTCTATAGTATGCAATTCTGTATGTTTTTGGCAGAAGGCAACAAGCAATAAAAATTTCTAGAAGAGCAGGTAATTCAAGTCCTATTGCTCATAACCACTTTCCTGTTTGCATTTTCATGATTTTCTCACTAGTCCCTGTGGAATCCGCAGCAAGAAGCATTCGGTGATATAGAGGCCTTTTACCTTGTATTGCACAGAAAGAAGCCTGGATTATCAATCATGATTCATCTCTTACCCTATTTTGGCATAGTTTACTACTGTTACATTGGCAACTAGTTCAAGTACAGGTGAATGTCTACAACATTGGCTTATTTTGTATAGAATCATAGAATGGTTTGGGTTGGAAGGGACCTTTAAAGATCAAGTAGTCTAACTCGCCTGTCATATACAGTAAACTGCAGCAATGAACAAGTCTGTATTTTTGGAAAGAGCACAAAAAATCCTTAGGTGTTAATATTCTTTCTCATCTATAAAGAAGTTACCTGTTTCTAGATTCTGTTGTACTAGAGAGAAAATACAAACACCTCAAACTTCAGCATTTCAGGAGAGCAAGCATAAAATTGGCACTTATTGAAACTGACCCTATTAATGTAGGAATTAGCTCAAAGGACCTTAACAAAATGGAAAATAAGGGAGAGTGGAGGGAAAATAACCTTAGGCTGCTATACCACCTTAACAAATAATTCCAGCAGTGCCCAGAGTAGAAATATCATAAATGGGAACCAATGTTCTCTCTTTTTCTTTTTTTTTTTTTTATGCTATGAGAAAAGCAGGAAGGAAAGATAGAATTGTTGTTGTCACATTCATCTATCAAGTATTCATTGACTACCACTGTACCTATATCATGAGTATTCACAACAATTAAGAACATACATTATAAAATAAAATGAATAATCAACAAGCCCTATTTGTGATAAGAAATGAAAATACCTTTCAGTTTCTGTTCCTGTTCATGTGCAAATGCACACAATTCTAAAGAAAGACAGAGAGCTGCAAGACAAAATGTTGGCTGGTTGAGAAATCAGTAGTCCTTCAATCTTGTCCCAAGATATAAAGGTTGTTAGACTTTGTGCATTCCAGACTTTTTTTTTTCTCCAGGAGATAGGAGATGCAATGCCAAGAGTATTCAGGAACTAACAGGGAACTGCGTTATGTGTGGTCCATAAATTACAAGTGAAAAATGAGAAAGTGAATTTATATAAGCATGTACATATATGTATATATAAATATTTATATTATATAATTTACCATGAGGACATGCAATTATTGGTATAGCACCTATTATACAATATAATACAAAGGAATAAGACTTTCCAGTGGTAGTTGTTTTTTTTTTTTCAGAAAAAGCAGGTATACCCTACCTATTGCATTCATCTGTAGTGATTGAAACCTGAATGAAATTAAGGTTCTACGCTGTGCTACATTGCGTATGAGAAACAATATACATACAAACAGTAAGAAAAAGAAAAATCAACATAGTCTGACAGAGCAAGTGAAATTCAGTGCAGCTCCAGGGCAGCTTTAATGCAGCATTAGAATGTGTTAGCTCAGAGACAAAATATTCCCTTTTAATCCAAAGGTATTCATTTGGCAGAGGTTAAATAGAAAAAAGCACAGATGCTGGCTGGAGAGGCATATGACTACAGCAAGCAGATCAGCAGCTGACAAGTCTCCTACACATCCAGTATCTCCACAACAGTTATAACCAAGGAGAGCTGGCCACATCTTTTTTAGGATTGCATTCATGCTCGTTACTATTCTTAGCCAGTATTCTCTTCTGAATGTAGCAAAAAGTGCTAAGTGTTCTCTACTGAGATTCTGTAGAGCCCGAGAGATTGTTAAGTAACTACTAAAAAAAATCAGAAGAATTAGACACTGTGGACTTCACTGGCAGATAACAAAGTCTGGCTATCAAAGAATGATTTGGGAAGAGTAACAAATACCCAATAACAAAAGTATCTCAGATTGTTTTCTATGTATTTTGCTGTAATGATTCTTACTCAGATTTTGTAAGGTATTGGCTGTATTTCTGTCACCTGAATCCTCCCAAGGAGTTTACCTTTCATGTTTTTATTAAAACAAATAATCTTGGTTATAATTGATTCTATACTGTAAGATCAGTGGTTTCAGTGATCCATAACTAACAAAATAAAAACAAAAGCCAGCAGTAACAAGGATTCTTTTTGCATTTTGGTTAGGGAAAAATCAGGCACTCCTTTTCAAACATTCATTGCAATCCATTGCAAATCTGCAACATTCAGTGAACCGCAGACTTCTTTCTCTCATCTCCTAGATGAGGATGCTCTTTCAAATTCTACCTACTGAGGTAGAACCCCTTATGATTCCCAAAGTGTATAACATGGAACCAAGGATTAGCTTATTGGATCATAATTAGTACTGAACAAATTTCTACAAAATATCACTACAAAAACATCTTAGAAACTGTTAATATCCATACTTAAAATGTCACCAGAGTAAAGAAGGGGCAAGAAACACGATACTTCACGTAAGTAAATCTGTGCTATAACAGATAGGGGACAAGATGAGCACTAAGTGACTTGGATGTGTGAAACTCAAAATGAAAGAGAATCATAAGGTAGAAATACCATTGTCATATAAACTGTGCTTTTTTAAAACTATGAAGACTATGCTTGAGCAGCACTTATCTCCCAAGTGGTGACGTTTTGGGAATAATGGTTTTGATTCCTTAAATAATTCTTGAGACAAACCTTAAATAATTAGGCCAAATCTTCTAGTTAAGTAAACTGAAAACATAGAGATACTCTTTTTAAACACTCACCTTGGAGATATTTTTTTTACTTCAAACACATTCCACCTCTTTGACTACCTGAGTCATTCTTTTCTTGCCCTCTACCCCTCTCCCCCCCAGATCTGCTTGCTGCCTGCTCTTAGGCAATGTCTGGCCACTCATTTACAAAGTATGCTTTCTCATGAGTAGTTTATGAAGCTTACGTTCTTAAAAAGCGCAGATTCAACACTTTTTTTTTTTAAATATACTTTTTTGATTAATTTTTTAAATACACAGTACACAGACACAACATGCATCAGACTTAAGAGGCGGATTTATACCTGTCAAGGCCCAGTTCCTATCTGCTAAGCTTAGTGGCTGATTTGCTCTTTCCTGTGGGAGTCTTAGTGTTTGGGGAATGGTATAAGGAACTGCCAGATCCTTTCAGACCATTCTTGCTTGGTTTGTTGTAGCAGTGCTCTTGCTGGCAGGATCTCCTAGAAGATGAGGAGCCTGAATGGCTAGGAGGTGATTTACTCCTCCCAAGATGTGGGGAGGAACTCCTCTGATCATGGTGGGTTCTCCCTGCCCGTGATGGGGAAGAACTAGCAGTACGGGGTAAGGAAGAGCTCCTAGGGGAGGCACTGGGACTGCGTCGGGGGTTGACAGGACTTTTGGGTGGTGTTTTTGGACTGTGTGGAGATCCTGGACTCTTACACTGTGTAGAACTCCTTGGTCTTTGAGATCCGTTCTGTAGAATTTGAGCCAGACGAGAGATAAGATCTGAGTCTGAGCTGCTACTCCCCAGGACTCTGTATCTGCGTAACCTTAAGAAGAAATGAAGAAAAAATATTTCTGTTTCAATCTACTCACCAAAATCCAAATAGACACACAGTACGATTGGAAACTAAGGAGGAGTTTACATGGCAGAACAGACATCTGAATGTGAACTTTCTTGTAAGGCAGAGATGTTCACATCTAGGTTTTGGCCTCCATGTTGTTCTAATCAACCCAATAATTAGTTGTATAAATTCACCTACATAAACAGTTTAAGCACCTAAAAGAAAATTGAAATTTCCTAGCGATGTTGAAGTGCACAGAAAAGCAATGCTTACAAGATCTATTTTGATGGGATGTATCCATTTCTGTCCATCATCAGTACACTCCTATACACAAAGGATGACAAAGCAAACCACAACTTCCTTCCGAGGATTTCACACTACTGATTATATCATAATTCTCCTTATCCTGGTAACTTAGGCACTGAATAAACTAGATCATGGTTGTCTATATCGAGAACCTGCAAAGGAGCATTTCTACAGTTCACTCTGTCATCCATTAAGTGGTTGTTTTTACTTAGCCATGATCAGAGCATAGTTAATTAACTTCATACTGATGGGTGGACTCTCCAAACAAGAATAATTAAAGCTTCTACAATAAGGACAGTTCAGTGTTAATTGGGGCTGTGTATGATAAATCCTACTGATTTCTGTAAGTTTGTGAATAATTGACAGTTCTGAGTAAGTGGTTGCATTTGAAGAAGGATTTAGTTACAGACTGACAGATCTAGAAATTTTGACTACACACGTATTGATGTATAAAACTTACTGGTGAAGCAGACTAGCAGTCTTTCCTCATTCATTTTCCAATAATGCAAGGTTTTTCAGAGAATTGAAGGCCAGCAATTAAAAAACAATAAGGATGGGACTTCTACACGATTACACGCTGCATAGTAACTGCAGCCTAGCTCAAATCCATTTTCAACCTGAAAACCAATCTCTATTTTCACTGTTACCTTGCTTCTACCCCAGGCCTAATAGGTGGTCTTCCAGGTGGTGGCCGAGGAAGGAAATGAGTTGAACTTGAACCGTTGACTTGATCAGTAGTGGCCCAGGAGACTGGTCTGGGTATCTTGCTTTTTCTGGACTGAGGGCTGCTTGGAGATAAATAACTCTCTTCTGTCTGCTTGCTGAAATGAGAGTCCAGTGTCAGTTTAGAAAATGAGGATAATACATCATCCTCAGAAAATGGTACCGGAGCAGCAGCCATTTTTTCCTCCAGTGACTTATCAGAGGCACTTGAGAGGTCACCAAGAAAAGATTTGAGCTGCCTCTTTTCCACAAGTAGTCTGACCAAGTCTGTCTGATGGGCCTTTTTTAAAAGAAGCTTTTCCTTTGCTGAAACAGGAGAAGAGGATTCTGATGTTGAGTCTATTTCTTGTGCTAAAACCGGGATTCGGCTCTGCCTGAATACAAAAGGAGATTTAACTAAGTCCTTCTTAGATCGATGAGAATTCTCATTTGCTGAAATGCAGTGAAATAACTCTCCATTTCTGGGAGCATTTTTCTCCTTCTTGTCCTCCTGGTGCAAAAAAGTAGTAAGAGCCACTTGGTGGCACTGCAAGTCCTGGACATGGACTTCCTCCTTATTAGAATGAAAACCATTTTCCTGAACTGGTGCTATTTTGCTTGTTTGTCTATTAACATATGGGTTGATGCGTCTTGATGGAGAAAATTCTGGTGTTTCAGGTGCTGTTGACTTCAGAAGCTCATCTTGATTTGGCACCAAGCAGACAGGCCTTGGCTTTGATTCTTCAGCAGCATCAGTATTAGTTAGAGGTTCTTCATCCGCAGATTTCGAACTTCCCGGCAAAGAATTCTGTTCTTTGCTCAGCATTACAACAGCATCCTCAGAAACCACTGGAAGTAGTTCTTCCTCAGTCTCTACAGGAAGCTTTTCAAGTTCCTTCTCTTCCTGTCTCCCGCTTTGTCTTTCAGGTAGGTCCTTTTGGCCACTGCTCAGGACACTGGTACGTTCTTTGACATGTTCTTCCCTTTCAAGCACTTCTTGGCTGATATGAAGTACCATATCTGGTCTGCTGCCACTAACTGTGGCATCTCCTGTCACAACCAAACACGGCAAAGTTTCCCTTGGAGATAAAAGTTCCACTGTTTGTTCCACAGACTGTGCGTCCCGCTCTCTTTTATCTAGCTGGTGGCCATAATGAAAGCTCTCTGAAGCAGACTGTGTGGATGCCACAGAAGGCCTGGGTATCGTTACCTTAAAAAATTTGAGAAGGAGAAGGTGAAAAATTCAGGAATATCATAGAAAGCATTCTTTATATTGCATTTGTGACTTCATATATTCAAAATACATTAAATAATGATTCCTATGAATCACAATGATTAAATAATCCCTGAACTTCATAAATTACGTATAGGTAACTAGGAAAATTAGATACTCTATCATCCCAAGACAGAAATGCATAACATAAAAACAATCTCAGTGGAAATTGTTGCAGTTACCAAGGAACATCCTGGAAAAGAGACTCAGATTAAGAGGTAAGCACTTTACCATTTTACATTAATTTGAATACTTTCAGTGTAAGTTTTATGTAAACATAGAACTTTAACAAGTACACCACAATACTTTCTAGACAAGTATAGAAGACAAAGAATACACTGAGGTCCAGATTCAGGAATTGACTTAAACTTCAATTTAAGCAGAACTTAGACACTGTTCTCAGAAGAACTAATAAGAAAACCTTATCTACCTAATTGAATACATCAGTACCTCTAATACCTACAGCTCATAAATATTCCTGAGTGCACAAATTTTATCTATTTTCTTCCCTATATAAGCTTACGTCTTTTTTAATTATTAAACTGTGCAAGCAGGTCAGGACTTCTTACTTAAGGTCATTAAGAGATTCACAAACTAAATATTCACACAACTAAATCTCCTGATGGGTCTAATCTAATCCTAAGTGCGCCCAAAACCTATATACAGTACTGACTCAGAGTCAGTGTGAAAAACGATTGAGTATATAGCTCAATTGTTGGAGCACACAGCCAGGAAATAGGAAACCTGCCTTCATGTCTCTTACCACCCTGAGGGACACAAACTCTCTTTCTCATCAAGTATGGGCAGAACCATAATGGATCTGCTCTTTTGCTTTCCTACTGAAGACAGGTCACTGCACAGTAAGAAGTGCAGGAGTCATGAGGTCGGGGGTCAGGTCACACAGAAGTGACAGGAGCTCCTGAAACTGTTGATTCAGTGACAGTAGAAGAGACAACTACTGATCCTATTCCCAAATAGTCTGTGGTACAGAAGACAGATTTCACTTGAACTTCTTACAGAAATTATCTAGACATGCTGCTGAGTTTAACGTGTTGTTTGTAAGAGCTAGTGCATTGGTACTTCTGGACCAGCAACAATTCATACTGTGTACTCCAACTTCACAAATGCAGAACTCTCCAAAATAAGAAATGCCAAGGAACAGTCAAGGATATACACCCTCATGGGAATCTGAAGATTCTTCTCTAAAATTCTTGCTGGTTTTTTTGTTTGTTTGTTTTCTTTTTTTTTCATTTTCTTGATAATCCTGTACATCATTCCTATCAGTATGCACACACATTCACCTACATGAAACAAGAGCATATAAACAAGAGTACTATATAAACAAGTGTACTATAAACAGCTCATTAGAACAGAACACAAAAAAATAAATCACAGTTTGGAATAGAGATGAATTAAAGAGAAGGTAATTGTTTGTTAAAGAAAATATTTCTGTACTATAAAATGTTTTCTGAACATACTTTAATTTACCTAATAGAATTTTGGAACTTAACCTAAAAAGCAAGGCTTTATTATTATTTTTTTTTCTTTTAAAGAAAACGTGGAGAAAAGGAGCAGAAATAACTGAACTCCTGTTTTCTGAATGTATCAGTCTGTAGCATGTTCAACGAGCTGAAATTTATTGAAATTGGGGGGAAAAAAGTCATATATTAAAAACAAAATGAAAAAAAAAAACAAACAAAAAACCACTGAGACCGGCAGCAAGAGACTAGCTTTTGTCTCCCAGTTGGATCATTTTTTTAGTTTGATGTAATAGAGTCCCTCTATGTTTGCTGAATTGAAGTTCTACCTTGACAAACAAATGGAGATTGTTTAGTTTCATTCAGCAAAACAGTCATCTTTGCCTACTCTTATTCCCAAGTCCAGCTCTTTCTTCCAAAAGACACATCATTTCTCTTGAGTTAGCAAATTCTTACTGCAGAAGCTTTCCTGTGAGAGAACCAGTGCAAATCAGTTTGGCCACAGAAAGAACAGAAGAAGTAGATATTTGAAAAAAGCACCTATTCATGATTAAGTCAACTAATACCTAAATTTTAATTTGAATTTTAATACCATAAAAATGGTTTAGCAGGAACTCTGCATAGAAAGAAAAACAAATAAAATAGGGAATAGGTCTGGTATAAGAGACAGGGGAGTTACAATCAGTTCTACCTTTATCTTGTTTCAACAAACCATTCCACAGGGCTGCAGGTGGAATTTCCAAAAAAGGAAATCCTGTAAAATGCTTCCTTTTCAAAAGTTTTTACCAGGCTTGTCTTCCACGTTTCTGAAAAATGATGGCTTCCCATAGAACAGAATGATATCTGGTGGACTCTGTTTTGGGAAGTAGAACAGCCTTAGTTATCTGCTTCTCCAATGTTATTTCTCTTCCTGGTATTTTTCCAGAAGAGCTGCAATTGCAGTTAAATTTTTTTTTTCTTTGCTTAAATACATTTACACAGAAACTTTTTTCCTTATGACATCTCCCTTATATGTCAATCCTTTTTTAGGTGAAACCAATTCTGATATGAAATCTGTTTACAGTTTTCAGTCTTCATCTTCTCTGCCACAACTAGAGAGAACAGTTTCCAGCCTTTTAGACTGCTCTTGATCAATCCAGATTTAGCCCTTATATCCAAGAAATGCAGGAGTAGACTTGTTGAAGAATCTACAACAGGACAAGAAGGAGCTTTTTGTGAAAGAAAAACACCAAAATAAGAGAAGGAAAGAAAAGCGCACGAAGTATCATCAAAGACTCTGTAGTGCTGAGTAGCTCAGTTTTAGCAATGGCCTACTGAATGCATGTATCACTTTCTTGAATTGTGCTCACTAACAAAAAGAAGCTTGTTTTCTCAGATGGTCAATAATCTTTTTGTTATTCTTCTCAAAGCACAAGGATTAAATTATATCCCTAATAGGCTTGACATTTCATTTACACATGCAAGAAATACAAATCATGCAGAAGTGCCTCTCACACAAGCATTCTTACAACTTCAGGTGCAGCTCCAAGAGAGGGAAAAAAAGAACAAGGCCAAAAAGAAACACAAGGGATTTTAAAAAGCACTATTATATTATACAATTTTATTTACTTACATAATAATAATTTTATAATTATACTTGTATAACAATTTCATTATTATACAAGTTTGATATTTGAGGTCTCACAGGATGAAAATACGAAGGGATACACATTATGCATTTACTGAATGCTAGTGTTTTCACACTGTAGGGTTGTAAGAACATCCCTAGAAAGGATAGAGAGACTGTTCTTTGAAGGTGAATGCTTGTTCCCTGAGATGGGGCCATAAGGATGAGATGTAAACAACAGCAGAAGAAAGTTTGGCAACCATGAAAGGATAAGAAAATTCCACCCTAACTTCTGAATTTAATTATGAGCCATGAAAGATGTCCTTCATGCCTTAACTCTCCTCAAACTCTAAATAATTGTATTAAAAAACTCTCAAAGCAACTTCAGAAAAAAAAAAAAAAAAAAAAAAGCAACATATAGTTCTGTAACCCTAATCATCCCATAGTCATCTTCCTTGTGAAACCTTGCACAACGGAAGTGAAAATCAAGTAGCCTGAGAAGGGCTGATCCTCAGATGTGCAATGTACACCAGTTTAAATGGTGGTTTAATCTAATTCAGGGACACAGAAATCTAAAGACTGTTTGATACATATCTAGTTACGAAACAAATAATACATGGCCAAGTATGCAATTCTGGCTTCATCATAAGTAAGTTTTGTACTCTATTTTCTTCTGCCACAAACTACAATCATATCCTATAAGATTTCTGTGGCTAATTACATCAATTTTGCACAACACTGAACCTGAGGAACAAAGATTATAATGTGCTGCATCTAAGAAGAAAATGTTCTGTATATTGTCTCAGTCCTTTTCAGTAAACTGCTGTATCATATGCCTTCTTTTAAAGTCCTGGAATTGTGACAATCAGGTAGATAATGCTATAAACTGATTACACCCAGTATGCTGGAATTGTATCCTCCAGTATTTAAAATCTGTTCTGCACAATTTTCTTCTTAGATGCAATGCTCCTTTTATTCTGCAAAAATATCTCCTTTTCTTCTGGAATATTTAAATGAAATTATCACCACTACCTTGAATCCATCAGTCTTCCCTAAATGATTTCTTAATTTCATTCTGTTTTCTGAGGCATTACATTAGATTGCATTTTCTTCAAGAAGCTTTACAATATACTGAGTGGAATGTTACGAAAGAAAATGAACAAAACAACGAATATCTCTTAGACATCCTTTGTGGCATCCGTCAGGCTTTCCTCTCTCTAAACTTTTGACAGGCTGCAACAGCAAGTGATATGCTGGGATCAAGCCTTCTGTGAATGTATACAGCAAATTGCAGAGGAATGAAATAATGGTCTTTGGTTGATAAAGCAGCTAAGTTTGAAAGATCTAAAGGTGTAAATATGGATTACTGTAAAATACTAGCAGGTAGGAACCTGACCTTGCAGCAACAGCTTCTTCCCTCCACTCATCAATTTAATCTTCAGAACTTCTTTCCTACCTTAGATAAGTTCATGTATCTATGAGATCAAACTTCACGTGTCTTTTCTCTTTTCCCTTCTACTTTTCATGCATTTTTGGCTCTAAAGCCTGGAAGCAATATGATCAACGTTAGTACAAGCCTGTAGCTTCTGCAATACCAAACAGTCTCCTTGAATCTTTCCAATTCACCAGCTTCCTCTTACTTCATAATTCTTTCCCTGTTGCTTAATTTTTCTTCCACAGCTATATACTTCTGCAAAGAAAATTCAACTGCAATTTGTATGAAAGGATAAAAGAAATGCTAATATCCTGTAATTTACAGCTACTGTTACTCTCACGTGATTGAACCACTGTGATGCTTACATATTCTGTAGGTAACTTACCAGCTGACTGTTCAGAATAGTTTTCCTCAAAAT